GATGTGGGACTCGATCCCAGGACCCTGGGATCATGACCTGAGCCGAAGGCAGACGCTTAACCATCTGAGCCACCCAGGCGCCCACCAAACCATGAATTTTAAAGACCAAAGCAAAACTGCATATTGTAGGGATCTTTTTAAAGTGCTGTATATGTTTGATCCCTTACTGCATCTTTGAGATGTAACGGTGTTCAGAGATAACGATCATCCCGATTTGTTGTGACTGCTGGTTACTGTGGACGTTTGCTTACAAGTTTTATACAGCACGCGCTGGATTCTAGGGGACAAGGTTTAAATGGAGGTTGGCCCTGGAAACGGCGCTGTGTCCTGTCCATCCTGGCTCGGGGCTCTCTGTGGCTGGTGCTGACCTTGCAGGAAGGAGAGACGAATCACACCTGTGTTTGCTGTGTCCCCCCCTTTGGTCGTCAAGTCCAAATGATTCACGCTTCCAGGGACAGGAGACTGCGGGTCCAGTGTCCTGGTCTGGCTTCGAGTGGGACCGAAGCGCATGTGTTGGGCCTGTTGGCGAGCGTGCGCAGGGCCCCTGCCTGTGAATGGCCACATAACGTTTACACTTCTAGTTTCCAAGAAACAACAGCAGTTGAGTTGTCGCACGTTTGTGAAATGGAGCGACGGCCACTTGATGTTTTCTAAACCTCAGTAGTTTTCCGCTTCCGAAATAAAATAAGGACTAGGCTGCGTAGCACAGTGTGCCCCAGGAAACGTTTCCATTTTGTTGGGCACGTGTAGGAAACTTACTCGATGGGTTGTTAGATCAGTTTTAACAGTTTTGCTGTAATAGTCGAAGGGCTTGACTAATTTGCTCGTGGATCTTGGAGGATAGTCAAATTCTGACTATAAGATAGGGGTAGCATTTGAAGACTGGAAGGGTTTCTCGTTAGTGTACCTAGACAGGCTGATAATGTGTATTGTTCCCGTAATTATGTGCTTTCCCCCGAGGAAGGTGGTTGAAAGGAAGGTATTTGGAGAAGCCAGCTGACTTGGATTTAAATCCCAGCTCTGGTGTTCCTGGCTGGGTGCCTTAACTTCCTTATCTGTAGAATGGGGTCACAGGGTTTCTGTGAGGAGTTCACGAGTGCATTAAACATTAGCCACGATAACTCTGAGTGTGCCTTTGCCTGGATTAATTGTGTGAGGTTTGCCAACCTTGATCAGATAGGGAATTGAAGACCAGTCTCGGCTGATTTTACGCCCCACGGAAGGCCAGCTGTGGTGTCACTCCCACGTGACCTCGCGGTGTGTGTATTCAGTAAGCTGCGTATTGTGGTTTAGCTGCATCTCTGGGTAACGTTGCATGTCAATAAAATGTGCTGATAGAGATTTTTAAATGTCCTTTTACTTCCGCAGCTGAGATGCTCCTCCTCCCCTTCCCAAGGTCTGCTCGCTGCCATCGAGGTCTGCTCGCTGCCATCGGGGTTCTTACATCCTGCCTCTCTTCCACAGGGCAAAAGGACAAACTTGCGTAAAACTGGTTCGGAAAGGATTGCCCATGGGATGAGGGTGAAGTTCAACCCCCTTGCTTTACTTCTAGATTCGTCTTTGGAGGGAGAATTTGACCTTGTACAGAGAATTATTTATGAGGTATGATTGGATTCGTAGATTCTTGAATACAGCGTTCCTCTGCTTAGGAAGCTCCTCTAGAGGGGGTGGGGGTGAGGTGTGGAGGGAGAGATGTGGAGGGAGGGAGGGAGGGAAGGGGAGGGAGGCAGGGACGGGGAGCGCGCTCACACAGGCTCACACAGGCTCACACACAGGGCTGCGCTGAGGTGACTGTGGGGTTTGGGGTGACGTGGAAGTGCGGTTTTCCCCAGGGTTCCTCCCGAGTACTTTTCTGTCCGGGGAGACGGTTCCCCTCTGTTTATAGCTGCTTCTGGGTGGACGCAGACTTGCGGTGTTAGGTTGCACATGTGGTCCCTATTTTCAGAAGCCTGCTATTTAAAATATTCTTAGCTGACCTTTTTTCCTTTCTATGGCAAATACACCTTCTCCTCAGACACTAATTTGTGGTAGGGGCCGGAGGGTAACTAACCAAAAATAGTTCCCAGCACCTCTTCATTTTTAAGACCTTTTTACAGTGAGTGCCTATTTAACATGGCTATTCCGGCGGTTTTACTTTTAGACTTGAGGTTGGTGTAGTCGTCTTGGCTCCTGGAGGTTTTAATTATAACTAAAAAAAAAAAAAAAAACAACAACCCACAGGAGCCTGTTTTTGTTCCCTTGATCCTGAAGAGCCAGGTGATAGTGACCTGAGCAGTGACGGTCCCCCTTGGTCTCGATGTCACAGGTTGACGACCCGAGCCTGCCCAATGACGAGGGCATCACGGCTCTGCACAACGCTGTGTGTGCGGGCCACACGGAAATCGTTAAGTTTCTAGTGCAGTTTGGTGTGAACGTCAATGCCGCAGACAGTGATGGATGGTAAGTCCCCGGCGCCCGCGTGTGTCCCCGGGTGACACTCCTCTCGCTCCCATTCTGGAAGCACGTGCAGTTTTATAAAGTATCGTAGTCGAGTGATAAGGAGATGTCACCAGGTGTCACAGACATAGCTGAGTTGGCGAGTTTGAGAGATGCTGGGTCAAGCCCGGTTCTGCGAGCCTGGTGACATCTGTCTTCAGTACACTGATGTCCACAGTGCATCTGCAAGAGGGAAGCAGAGTTTGTAGCCTTTCCCAAGTGTCTTTGACCGTGGAATCCATTTTTCATGGAGAGTTCTGTGGAATGGTTATGTGCATAAGACACAGGACACATTGTTTTAAATGACGAGTCGTCTTCATAGGATAATGGATTATTATTACATACTGAAACAAGGGGTCCTGATAAGGTCACGCCCGATAACTGTAACAGAACAGAGAGTAAATTTTGTAATTTTTTTCTTTTTAAAGAAAGTATAAATTTATAATATGATATTTCTTTGGAAGAATACAAAAAAACTTTTTTATATATACAATTTCTTAAAGGTAAACCCATTTTTTAATCTAGTCCCTTCAAATTTACATATATGTATATTTTGTAGCCTAATTTTTTGGTTTAACTTTATAATTTAAGGAAAACAAATTCTTTTTTTAAAGTAAGCTCTATACCCAGCATGGGGCTCGAACTCATGACCCCAAGATCAAGAGTTGCACACTCCCCTGACTGAGGCAGCCGGGTGCCCCCAAAACAAATTCTTAATGTGTCATTGTGTCTTTATTTCCTTATTATTAGCAGTTTAGATTGTATGTAGTTTTTCACTATTAGAAAAGCCGTGCACTTAAAAAATCTGCAGTGATCTTCACCAGTCTTTGGCCGGCAGTGTTCTGGGGTGCAGGATGGGGAATACGTGGTTTTGGAGACTCTACACGTGAGAGGAATGGGATGATGAGGGGAGGGACGAGAAGGGTGAATACATGCAGTCCGTGTGATCGGGCCTGGGTCTCACGCCGCGGTCCTTCTGTGAGCTGCACGCAGGCTCCTCTTCCTCCTTCGTGAGTCTGGGGTCGCTCAGAGCACGCAGTAAACGTGTGAGCGGCTGGAGGGACTCTCCGTAAGGCCATCAGTAAGGTCCCCCCGGCCGGTGGCCTAACAAACTGAAATGTGCATATTTCACAGTCGCTTTTCTGGTCTGCATTGAATTGACAAAGCTTTACTCAATCAAAATTCAGTTTGGACCCTACAAACTGTTAGGTTAAGGCAGTTTTCTGTGTGCGACCCAATTCCCTCTTTAGTGGGACCGGGGAGGGAGTACGGCCGTGCACCTGTTTCGGGTGAGGCCTGTGCCGTCAAGACTGCTGCGCCCTCCACGCTGCCCGGGACACGGGGGCAGGTGCTCCGGAACATCTCGCCCCGTTTAGACCGTTGCATGCATCTCACGTCCTTGCACTCAGTCCATGATTCCTCTCGCCCTCCGTGCTGCCCCGTGCAGCGCCCAGGGTGTCCCGTCCTCGACTGGTCCTCCCTGCCTTCCTCCCATGGGCTCAGGGATCCGTGCGTTACCGATTGGTTTTCAGCAGAAGGGCCCAGACAGTACACCTTGGAGTGGTTCCCACGGGCGGCCGGGCCGCAGGTGTCGCGTGCGGGGAGACCTGTAGCCTGCTGTGTGTCGCTCCACAGGACCCCGCTGCACTGTGCGGCCTCCTGCAACAACGTGCAGGTGTGTAAGTTCCTGGTAGAGTCCGGAGCCGCCGTGTTCGCCGCGACCTACAGCGACCTGCAGACCGCCGCAGACAAGTGTGAGGAGATGGAGGAGGGCTACAGCCAGTGCTCACAGTTCCTTTACGGTTTGTAACTGCCATACGCCAGCGCGCTGATGACGGCGCGGGTCTGCCCTCTGTGTCTGGGGTACGATTTGCTCAGTGTTTCAACATCAGGAAACGTTTTTGTGTTGTGCGCAGTCCTGGGCACTGAGAACAGGGCAGCCTCGATGCCCCAGATGAATGCAGCGCTTGTGCGTGGGCCTCCGAGCGGCCCTGCTGGGGACGGCCTGAGCTGGCCACCCGCCCCGCGGCCCCTGTCCCCGTGCGGGCCTGAGACTGGGCCCCTGCAAGTGGAACCCCCTTCCATGGCGGACCCAGGATTTCCCACTGGATCAGACTTGTCATAAAGTAAAGGAAGGGCAGCACCTTTTCAGAGCTGATTTTGTTGTCTTCATTTTGCGTTTATGATTCCGAGGGAGGACATCAGCTCTGATCCTAGAGAACAAGGGACTTGAGGTGTCAGATGGGCGTCTGTCAGGTCGCGTTTCTGGTCACGACCCTTACAAGTTGAGGTTAACTCTTCCTAGCTGGGCTGGAGCGGAATTGAGGAGAGGTGGTGAGCAGGTGCCAGGACGCCGTTCCGCTCGTGCTCTGGGAAGCTGCTCCGCCTGGCGGTGGGAGGGTGCGAGGCTGGTGAGCCTGCGTCCCCGCGTGGCTGCGTCCCGGCTCTCAGGCTGTTCTCAGGCTCCGGGCCGGGCCGGCGCGGTGACCTTGCAGCTCTTAACGCTCACTGTGGGCACTGAGGGTGACCGCTCATTCCTGTACCAATCTCTGGATCGGGGATAATTTTGATAGACTGACATTTTACTATTAAGATATTAATATATACTTTGTCATATGAGCTGTATTGGCCATCTTAAGCTTTACTTCATTATGAAACATGATCTTTAAAAACAGGAGGGACATCTGATCGGAGGCTTTACTTTATGGAACGTATCATAGACTCCAAGAAAGCGTGTCTCTGCCGTAGATGTTGAAATGGCAACGGCCTGGCTTCTCCCTGGTCTGGTCTGGGGGCCCCTCCCCGACGTGGGCCCTCACACCTGTGGCAGCTGCGACCTTGACCTTGAATGTTTTCTTCCTCACGTTTATCATTCCTTGCTTTTTAAAAATCCCTCTATCACCTGGGAATGAATCCTGTAACCCCTGGGTTTGCCGTTTCTGGGAAGTAAGTCATGCTGTGATTCTCCAGCTTGCGTTTCCGTTCACGGTAGTTCTGGAGCCTCCTCTGTGTGGTGATGCTGGTTCTTGCTGTCTGCCCCGCTTACGGCTGTGACTGCCGCGTCTGTCCTTCCGTTCTGCCTTGGAGCATCAGGGCGCGCGTTCACTCGCAGTTACAGACTGTCCACCCAGAGGGGCACTTGGTCCCAGGGACACACGCCTAGTTCCTTCCCCGCCATGTCCCCCTCTGGCCCCTGCTGGACGTGGGGTGAGAGCCCGCGGGGCTTCAGGTCGCTTACCCAGTGACCCGTGATACTGAGCATGTGTTCAGACCCCTCAAAAAGAATTTTAAACTCTTAGTTCGGTGAATAGCAGAGTAAGGAGAAATTTTTTTCCATTCCTGATGACTTCTTGGAAATGAGAATGAAGTTGTTTTTTTATTAGAATATGATTTTCTAATTCTGACCAAATATCTTTTAATTAGTATTTTACAGTTATTCAGGTTTGCCCAGAGTAATCTCACTGACACTTTGGGGAGCTGTTGTTTGAGCAAACCACAGTGCCATTTCTCCCCTGCCCCTTCCCTGCTCCCACTCTAGCCTGGTGGAGTCCGAGTTCGCTCAGGGCGTCACCCTTATGGGGCTCACGGTCACAGGGAAGTTGGAAGTGTAAGCATCCCCATTAGTAGAAGCCTGACCCTTAGTCGGCAGAGCCTCTGATGGAAAAGAGCAGCTCCGTGTCTTGTGTCAGTTTTGCCCAGAGCTCCATCGTGGTAACTGATAGACAAATAATAAGTTCATAATTATGTTCAGTGTCCACAAGAAGTTGAAAAATCTGACTATTTAAGGGCAAGCTGACACTTTCCCTTAAAGGGAAAACAGTAACCAGCTCTGGAGTGCTCGGACCTCCTGACCTGCCTAACCCTTTTGGCCCACAGCCCACAGCGCACCCACCCCCTCGCTCGCCCTGTGCCCGCCTGGCCCCGTGCCCGCCCGGCCCCGTGCCCGCCCCCTGCCCTCACCCTGTGCCTACCCTGCACCCACCCCTGCACTCGCCCTGTGCCCACCCGGCGCTCGCCCCGTGCCTGCCCTGTGCCCGCCCTGCATCTGCCCCTACACTGTGCTTGCCCCGCCCCAACACTCGCCCTGCACTTGCCCCGTGCCCGCCCCCGCGCCCGCCCCTGCGCTCGCCGTGCCTGCCCTACCCCCGTGCCCGCCCTGCACCCACCCTGCGCCTGCTCCATGCCTGCCCCGCGCCTGCCCTGTGCCGGTGAGGGGAGAGTGGAGGAGTGCAAAGTAGGGCTGAACATGCAAGTCTGTCACTATAGTGAAAGTGGACGTTTGTGGGTTTCTGTATCTTCTAGAATTTGGATCTTCATGACTTTAGACTTGACTCTGTATCATGTCTGAAATATTTCCGCATTCTAACGTATCTTACAACTTTCTCCCTCTCCCTTTCCCCACTTGGAAATGGGCAGGGCCTGCTCAGTAGACACTGTTGTCGCGGCTGCTGTAGGTTCCAGGTCAAGAGTCCCCCGGTCCCCACGCTTAATTCGACAGGCAGAGCGCTCACTCTTCTAATAGCCTGGACAGTTCATTTTTATTCCTGGGCTTGCAGGAGTTTCTGTACTAAGACTAGTTTCTGAGCTGCCTTAGGCTCGCCGAGACTAACGTGTCTCGTGGGACATCCCCCCTGGGTTTGTTCACGGGGTGCTTCGTGTGGTATTTTCAGCTTCCTTGCGCCTGCCCGGTTCCCCTCCTTTGGCTCCGTGGAGCCGAGGGTTGGAAGAGTGGACAGTCTGAGTCATGTGTCCTGTGTGGTTTCTTCCTGTCATTTCAGGGGTTCAGGAGAAAATGGGCATCATGAACAAAGGAGTCCTTTATGCGCTCTGGGATTATGAGCCTCAGAATGGTGACGAGCTGCCCATGCGAGAGGGGGATTGCATGACTGTCATCCGCCGGGAGGACGAGGAGGAGACCGAGTGGTGGTGGGCGCGCCTGCACGACCAGGAGGGCTACGTGCCGCGCAACCTGCTGGGGGTAAGTTACGCGGGCAGCCGGCGCTTCTGGGTGAGCCGGGCCGTGCGGGAGCACGCTGTGTCCGGCCAGGCTCGCTGCCGCCGACCGCCCTTTGCTCGCGCCCATGGGAGGTCAGAGTTTGGGCCGTAGGGGAGGGTCCACGTGCATGCCCGCTACCGCCCGAGGTCGGGGCCCTGCTGCATCCAGGCAGCGTCAGGTGTGCGCGTACCTTTGGCTACAAATGAGGATCTGCGGAGCCGGCACGCAGAGCCTTCCCTCCGGCTCGGGAAAGCAGTCCAGGCGTGTGAGCCCATGCAGGCCGATGGCCCTGCTGCGTCCGGTCAGAGGGCCGGCTGTGCTTGGCACAGGGCTCTCGGGAGTGTTTGCAGGGAGGAGGCGAGGAGGGTAGGCCGAGGGCAGAGAGGGGAGTGACGTCCTGTGTGCGCAGGGCCTGAGAGGAGAGTCTAAACCAGAAGAGCTGGGGTGGGGGGGGCGGCGGTCAGCACCGTGGCTCCCGCCTCCGCCCCTGCGCGCTCACCGCTGGGCAACAGGGGCGCGGCCGGCGGGCGCGGGGAACACTGCCTCCCGAGACCGCTGGGGTGTCTGCTGGTCGGCTCCCGTCGGACCCATGGTCCGTGCGGCTGGAGCTGCTCTGGGGTCGAGGCCGCCAGCCCGGTTCCTTGTGCGAATGCGTGGTGGCGGAGCCGCGGCGCTTTCCATGGCGTGTCCCGGGTGTGGGGACCTGGAGTCTCCTCCTGACCCTCCTTGTCCGTTCTTGTGTCTCGTGCGTCCAGACTGCTGCCCCCGGTTGCACGGGTCCTTATTAGTCAATCTTTGGGGCTTAGTATCCGCTGGTATGGTCTTAATGAAAATTACCAAGAATGGATGAAAGTCAAAGAGCACTGAGCCATGGAGCCCCTGAAGCTTCCCAGCGCCCCAAACACCGGCAGCTCGCACTCGTTCTAGTTTCTTACCTGGGAAAACCTCTTCCAAGTGCCTGCTGATCGGAGTCTTTAATTTTACTTTTCTAAAAAAGAGGTCCCGTGACTCATGAACCAAGAAGCCTCACTTGCCCTGGGTGTGGAGGCACTTGGGCCCTCAGAAGGCTCTGACATCAGCAGACCAGACCCAAGATTTTCATGTTGATCTGGCATTTAAATATTCTTAGCCTTTTGGAAATCTCTTTGGGGTAGAAGTGGCCTCTCAGTAACTTTTTTGGGTTTCCTTGGAGGTTCAAAAAATGGAAATCATATAAATGTTGAGCTTTTAATCAGAGGCTCAGATGGGAGCCTGGAAGATTGTATTGACTACTGATCTTTTCTCAAGAAAACAATCTTTTGTATAATGTTGATCCACCAGTTAGTTTTTCAGTTTTGGCTGGAAGTCTGAGTCTCCCTTCTTACAGTGAACCTTGTTCCTTTTGTCTATGCAGCCGGAGGACGAGGAGGCTTTGTGTAGTTTGCCAGTTGAACTGCTAGTTTGACTCGCTCTTGGCTTCCAGACTGCAGATCTTCTGACCTTCACAGGCTCCTCTCCACCTCTTGTTATGGAAAACACAAAACCACAAAAGTCCACAAATAAAAAACTCCACTTACCCTCCCTTAAATCGGTACCTTTTAGTCTGTGGCATTTCGTGGCTGACAGTCTCAGGTCCCACGAGAGTGGTTGTTGGGCTGTTACGAGTGAAGTTGAAAGACCCCAGAGCACGCGGTGCTGCAGACCACCTCCCGCCGTCACAGGCTGAGCCCACGGGCCAGGGCTTAGCGCCATCATGCCTTTTCACGTCCGTGCGCCACAGTGTTGTGCCTGGTGGGGAACCCCTGTGACCTTCGCACAGGAGTTGCTGAATGTGAATCTTTGTGCCCTCAGACAGCTCTGGGCGCCTCGTGGCAGAAAGAGTTCTTTCCTTAGTTCCTCTCCTGTGACACCAGCCCCCCGCCCATTACACTCCTGCGGGTCTGTCTCTACAGCGTGTAAACCGTTTTTCTGTTCTCTTGCAGCTCTACCCAAGAATTAAACCAAGGCAAAGGAGCTTGGCCTGAAACTTTACAGAATTTTAGTGTCTGAATAATTAATCTTTGTTATCACTAAGAAGAAGTAATGTGATTGTTTTTGGCAAAAATTTCACAAGACTGACTTTAATGACAACGTAACTTGAAAGCAGTACAGAATGTCCTCTGGAAGAAAATGAAGGATTGGGGAATTTGCTATCCGTGGGGGACATTCAGCGTGATGGACTGGAACTTAGAAGTCAGCTGATCACACTGTTGGGGAACAGTGTTTACGGAGCACTTGGGAAGATGAAAAGTGACCGTCCTGGTTTTCTCCAGAAATAGGGCCATTCATTGGGCTCCTGGGAAGTTGGCTTCATGTCCTGCTTGGTTGGTGTTTGTCCGCACCTCCCCTGCCCCAGCCAGAAAGGCCCAGTGCCACCGAGGCAGCACCTCTGCCTGTCCCCCCCTTAGGTCCCAGGGGACCCAGGGGACTCGGGTGCCCCGCGCACGCATGTTGTTGGTGAAGAACTAACTGTTGGTCAGTTGTCGGCAATCCCTTTATGATAGTTCTTCAGAATTACACATATGTTTGAGATATTGGAACCAAGCTGTAGCACAGCTAATTAGATTTAGAACTTTGTTTTTAGGAGGAATTTGAATCTATATTTATTGTCTTTTGTATCTTGGAAATTGGAGACTTGCTATATAGACTTACCCATGATATTTGTCAAGATCATAGCTGACTTTAAAAACAATTGTAATAAAATTAAACTTTTTGACTCCAAAGCTTTTTACTCGTTTTAGTTTTTTGTGTCATTAAAAGCCTTGTTTAAAGTTCATAAGCCGTTGGGTGGCTTACCCAGTGGGAAAATAGTATTTCTTTACCAGCCATGTGATTACATGGAAGAAGTGTTTTCTTGCTTGCAGAAAACTCGGTTTTGTAATTGGTGAGTTTTGTGGTGGCCCTTGGTAGAGAACCATGGGGACGGAGGGTCTCACCATCCCTCAGCCTCTGTGAGACGGTCTCATCCTGGTCTACACTGTCCATACTCATTTGTGGGATGAAAACATACATAGACAGGGTCTCTGCATTGGTTTTTAATATGTTACCAAGTTTGTGAATGGCTTTGGAACCCACTCTGCTTAATGGAACTATTTTCAGTTAATATAAGCCACAAATGAAGAACAAGTGCTCACTTCTCCTTATATGTTTTTATGAGCACCTAAATTACAGCAAGAATGAATGAAAGAACATCCCACGCTCATCTGAATAATGGAGAAATAGGGACAACTGAGCTAGCAGTCGGAAGACATGTGTGGTGGACAGAATTCTGAGGATGCTCCCCATCTTCCTGCCTCTGGGGTGACGGTGTTTGGAGGTGGGGCCTCCGGGAGTTGAGGCGCACGTGATGTCAGGTAGAGCCCCCCCTCCTTCGTGCCCTTGGAGGAGGAAGAGGCCACGGCCCTCCCCTCTGCCATGTGCGGACATTGCAAGAAGGTGGCCATCTGCTCTCTGGGTAGGGTCCTTGCCAGACGGCACGTCGGCTGCACCCTGATCTCGGACCCACAGCCTCCAAAGCTGAGAGGTGGGTGTGTGTTGTGTGAGCCCCCAGGCCGTGGGGTTTTGTTCTGGAGCAGAGCAGACTAGGAGTTCCGGTTACCCGGCCAGACACTGATCTAGGTGCTTCTGTGAGGGAATTTTCCCATCAGCTGACCTGGGGACAGGGAGGTCACTCTGGGCTGCCAGGTGGGTGCAGGAGAGGTGTGAGGTGGGAGGGGCTCAGCCCACCACTGCCCGCCCGAGGAGAAAGGGGTCCCATGCCAGGAAAGATGGAAAGCCCCTGCCGACAGCTAGGAACCCTCCCTTGGGTCTCTGCTGGGACTGGCCAGTCCCATGGGACCGTGAGGTGATGGGTGTTTGGTGTTTTGTTTTTTGTTTTTTTTTAAGATTTTATTTTTAAGTAATCTCTATTCCAGTGTAGGGCTTGAACTCACGACCCCGAGATGAAGAGTCACACGCTCCTTTCATTGAGCCAGCCAGGCCCTGGAGGATGGGTGTTTAAGCCGCTAAGCAATAGGCATCAAGTACGACGGGGCCTCTGGGCCTGGTCTGGCTCTTACCCACCGGCTGCGCGACCCTGCCTGGGACACGCAGTTCAGCGTCACCTCTGCACACCTCGGTGCGGAGGGGCCCATGCCAGGTACTGTACGTGGAGGTGCCGGGAAATTGTAAAGAGTCGCTCAGATGTACGGGACAGACGACATGAAAATTAGGAGAACGTGATCATCCGTTGGCTTCGCCCTAAACGGAGAACATTTGCTTGTATTCTTCCTCTTGGTTTTTTCCTTGTTTATCATCAGAGCATCCTTGCATCAGAGGTTCTCGTAGAAATATTTGCAAGTACAGGGAAGGGTCGCGGAGCGGGGTCGCGGAGCTGGGGTCGCGGAGCTGGGGTCGTGGAGTGGGGGTGGGGTGCTACTGGGACCGCCCGTAGCGTGTCGGGTCAGTGTCCCGGCCACGGGTTTCTGTGCAGGGGTTGAGAGGGCACAGCTTCAGTGGCTGTGGTGTTGTGCACGTGAGGTTTGCTTAGGAGCACAATTTCCGATGGCTGTGCGATACCGCACATGTGAGGGACCCCGGTCTGACCCGGGCGTGTGCTGGTCCCCAGTTCCCAGAGTGACGCCCATGAGGCATCTTCATGGTGGCCTTTCTAGATTTTTGAAGAAGGGGGAGTAGGGCAGCTGGAGGGTGGGCCCTGCTGCAGAGGGGCTTCTCGTGGGGGTGGAGGGGGACACATGGAGGACAGGGGCAGAGGGCAGAGGTCACCGTGTCAAAGGCACAAAAAATTGGGAAGATGCTGCTGGTTCTCCTTCATAGGTCTGGGCACTGGGAGGTAGGCGGTGGCCAGAGGAAGCAGCAGGG